CCTTGAGGCCCAGCGCCGTCGTGAACGAGTTGCCCACGCACATCAGCGCCGCGGCGTCGCGGCAGATGTCCGACTCCTGCAGGGGGGCGGGCAGGGAGCCGGGGAGGGGGGAGGGATCGGGCCGGACCGGCGGCGGGCGGGGGGAGGCCTCCCCTGCTGCGGTGGGCGCGCCTCGCCGGCGCGGTACTGGACCCGCCCCGGCCCCGAAGCAGACCCACATCGCAGACCGGGGTCTCCTCCCACTGGCTGGATGCGATGTACTGCAGTATGTCGTCCGACAGCTCCGGCAGGGGCCCCGGCGGCATGGCGGCGGCGGCGGCGCAGCGGCAGGGCGGCGGCGGGGCGGGCGCCGACCGGTGGCGGTGGGCCGCGCCGGGCTGTCCGAGGCCGTTTATGGAGCAGTAGAGACTACTCGCGGCGCCTCGCAGCCCTGCAGGCTGCTCCCAGAGGCCGGGGCGCCCTTGAAGGCCTGCTCGCGGAGGCGCCGAGAGGCCCGCGGCGTGCCAGAGCGATCGAGCCGCTGCCTAACGGTACCGCGCGTACGTTTGGCGCGCACAACAGCAGGCGGCGAGCCGAAGCGGGGCAGGCGCGCGACTGCAGCTGCGTGGGTCGTGGGAGCGCTGCGCGCTGCGCGCGCTGTGGCGGGCAAAGCGGCGGTCCAGGGACTGGCGGCGCGCATACGGTACCGTAAACCAGCCTGGGCCAATCAGGCCCAATCCATCTGCGCCGCAAGAGCCCCGTTGGCCGCGCCCGCCTCGCCCGAGGCAAGCCCGCCTCGGCCGTCGGCACTCGGCAGCGCACGGCTTTACGGTACCGGTACGCAGCAACATGCGCACACGCACACGCATGCCCCGCAGACGGTTGTTCTCATTTGCCCGGGCCTGCCGCGTGCCCCCGCGCCAACGCTGGGCTGCGTGCGCGGCGCCGCAGCGCCGTGGTGCCGCCGCGCGTCTGGCGCATTGGGTCAGGTGATCGGCCCCGTTGGTGCTGATGGGAGGAGCTTTTGCTGTCGTGCGCAGCCCCAGTGGCACGGCCGCGTCGGTCAAGCGGGTCGGTAAACGCGCGCTGCGCGCGCGCGCAGCGCACCCAGGCGCGCCGCGCGGTGCGGCCGGGGCCGCTAAGGCGCGTCGAGACGATGCCTCTGGTTGTTCAAGGCACCCTTGGGAGCCGCCAAGCGCCGCGGCTGGGCGCATCCTGGGCGCCGTTTCCGCTCAAAAGTTGCACGCGCCGAAAGCCCAAATAGCGCGTCCTCCGAGCCCGCATTGTCTTTAAATAATTGCTCCGACCAATAAAACCCGCCTGTTAAGGCGTACGGAGCCCAAAGACCGGGGCGCGTCGGACGTGTGTGCGTGCGGCTCGCCCAGAACTTCGCGGCCCAGCAGCCCCAGCAGCCTGAGAGGTGCGCAAGCGGGATAATCGTGCTGTTTAAGTGTTTTAATGCCGCTGCGGGCGCGGAATCCGGGCGTGCAACGGCCCGTTTAGCGCGGCCCTGCCCGCCGGCGGTGCGCATCCTCTCGCCGACGAGGCGCGCAGCAGCGCCGGGCCCCGCACCCCCTTGCGCGTCTCGCGGCCGCCGAGCCAAGGGCCAATCCTGTTGAAAGCAGCTGTCCCACATCCACCCCTCCCCCTCGTGCCCCCCGCGCCCCGCACCCCTCTCCTCCAGGCCACCCCCCAGCCCACCACCCCCAGCCGCCGCCATGGCCCGCCGCCGCGCCGCCACCGCGGCGCTCCTCCTCGCCACCGCCCTCCTCCTCGCCGCCGCCGCCTCCGCCGCGGCCCGCGAGCTGCTTGACTCGCCGCAGAGCCCCCGGGCGCGGCGCGCGGCGGCGCGGCGCCGCCGCGGAAGCGCGAATTCGGTGCAGGACGTCCCCAAATCGATCCGGCTGCTGGCCCTGGGTGACTCCATCACCATGGGCTCAGTCCCCTCCGCCAACCAGAACCACCCTTACACAATCGAGCTCGAGCGCCGCCTGAGGGAGAAGCTGGGCACCGGCAAGGTCACGGTCACCAACGCGGGTGGGCGAGGGGTCGGGCCTTTTCAATTCGGCCTTCGTTTTTGGGGCTTTTGGATTTGGCCTTCGTTTTTGCTTGTTGGTTTACTCTTTTGATGGTCTGGGTTGAACTTGGGGCTGTTGCACCGCTTGCTCCCTCCCAAACCAATTACAATAACAAGCCCCCGAACCGCCCCCACCCCCCAAACGCCCCCAGGCGTCGGCGGCGCCGGCATCTTTGCCGTCGGCTTCCAGAACCCCACCACCCTCGGCCCCTACGCGCAGCAGCTGCTGGCGAAGGCCAAGTACGACTGGATAGTCGGGCTCATCGGCATCAACGACCTGCTGCGCATGGGGCGCTCCGCTGATGACGTGAGCGGCTGGGGTTTGGGGCTGGGCGGTTGCTGGGGGCCTGCTTCGGGGGCGCCGTTTCGGGGGCGGGGTCGCTGCTTGCTGCGAGCTTCCACCTACAGCGGCCTCGCTTTACGACGTTCGAAGCACTAGGAACAGCAGGCCCCGCAGCAGCTGCTATGGGCACACAGTTTGAGAAGCCCCTCCACTCGCCCCTCCGTATCAACCCCGCAGGTGTTCAAGGGCATAATGGAAATCTACAAGCCGGCCCTCGAGGCGGGCACCAACGTGCTGGCCATCGCGCCGCTGGCGGCGCCCGGCTTTGTGTCGCGGTGGGGGGGCCGGGAGTTCTTTTTTTTTGGGGGGGGGGGTACGTGCCAATGCGGTGGGAGGGAGCGGCGGCTGGCGGCTGCGCGGCGGCTGTGCCGCCGAGCTGCCGCCTACGGCGCCAGCGCCACACGCACGCCGCCCCTGGCGGGGGCGCTAGGGAACCGCGGCCCCCTGCATGCCACGCACGACCCCCGAGGGAAAACCCTCCCCCCAGACAAACAAGCAAACAAACAAACAGTCACCCTTCCAAACAAACCTCCCAAAAAATCCCAAACCCCCCAAACCCCCCAGGTCTGACTCACAGGAGGGCGAGCGCCTCAAGCTGGCCCCCCCTCGAAACTAAACCCCCGAACCCCCCTCCCCCCCAAAACCCCCCCCAAACCACCAGGTCTGATTCCAAGGAGGGCGAGCGCCTCAAGCTGCACGCCCTCCTGGCCAAGGCCTCGTCAGACTGGAACGCCGCCCACCCCACGGGGCCGCGCTTTGCCGTCTACGACCTGGGCATAAAGGGCCCCATGAACTTTTGGGACATGGGGGAGGCGGACCGGCGGTGGTGGCTGGACGACGGGCTGCACCTCACCGCGCAGGCGCGGGGCCAGGGGGGCGGTTTTGGTTTTGTTTTGGGGTGGCGTGGGGGCGTGCCGGGGGCGGTTTTGGTTGGGTGTTGTTTTAGAACGGCTGGAGCAGAGCGGCAAGTCTGCAAGAGTTTAGAGTTGCCCCAAAGCCCAGCGGTGCCGTCGAACAAGCGGTTCGCAGTCCTGTGTGGCTTGCACTGCCCTTTTCACACCAAAAAACCTCCCCCCTCGCCACCCCAAAACAACCCCCCCTCTCCACACCCCAAAACAACCTCCCTCTCCAAACCCCAAACCCCTCCAGGCGTACGACCGCATGGGCAACCTCATCGCAGACAACCTCATCCCCCAGCTGCGCGGCCGCAGGAAGAGCCACGGCACCCGCCAGTAGTCGATCCATTAGTCATCACTGCCGGGGCGCCCCCCCCCTGCCCGCCGCGCCAGGGCGCGCGGGCGGGCGGCCGGGCCGTGCCGGGCCGGGCCGTTGCGCACGATCGGGCTTGCGGCGCAGTCGCGTGCGAGCGCGGCTCGGGCGCGCCCCCCGACAGCAAGCGCGCGCCGCAGCCGGCGGGCCGGCCGAGGGCCGGCAAAAACGCGAGTATGGATAGAGAGCCAAACACAGGCCGCCGCTGCCGCCGGCGGCAGACAGCGAGAGAAGACCGAGCGGGCGCGCGGCGCGGCGGGGCCGGGGCGAGAGGGGCGCCCGCCGGGCGCGGCCCTGTGGCCGCATTTTGCCCCGGCGGCGGCCCCCCGCCCCGAGGACACGCCCCGCCGCGCCGCCGCCGCCCGCAGGCTGGCCGGTCACGACGCAACTGCGTGATGCGTGCACGCATGCAGGCATTCGCGCATGCGTGCGCGCGCGTTTGGGCCGGCGCCCGTGGCATCAATAGCACCCTTTCCCCGGCACCCCGGTTTTGCACGCTGCACGTTGCACGCATGATGCAGCAGCAGCGCCGCGGCGGCGCGCGCGCCCCTGAGCAAGGGGCCGCGGCGCGCCGGCCACGCGGCGCGCCGGCCCGCCCCCCTGGGGGCCGGCGCGAGGCGCCACCCCTCCTTGCACAACCCCAGATCACACCGGCGCGGCGGCAGAGGCCGCCGCGCCAAGGCTTGCCGCGGGGGCCTCCCCTCTATTTCGACCCTTCCTCCTCCTCCTCCTCCCACCTCGTCACCCCACCCTAAATGCCTTTCTCCCCCCTCCCACCCCCGCGGCGGGCTCTCGCCGTTTGCCCGCGCGACCCCTCGCGCGCGCGCCCCCGCCCTGCCGCCCGCCGCTGGCAGGCGGGGCCGCGCGCGCGCGGGGCTGCGCTCGCGCCGGGCCCCGTTTGCAGGGCGACGTCCATCCCTTTGATGCGTGGCCCCCCTCGCTCCATCCCTTTCGATTACGTCACTTCATTGCACCCCGCTTTGGCCACCTGCGGCGGGACTGTGTGGACCCACGGCAGGGTCCCGCCCCAAAACGACGCCCTTGTCTTTAGGCGCAGCGTTTCCAGCACTGTGTGCAGCAAGCTTCGCGACCGAATGCTTACGCCCTTGGCTGGTTTTCGCGCATTCACCTCGTAACCCTGTGTTCGAGGGCCCCAATGAGACTGATGGCGCGGGGAGCAGCGAAAAACGAGTGGGGCGTCTTGTCAGCGGCGGTCGGCCACAGACCTGCCGCCAGGCGGCCGGCGGCCGCAGATGCAAGGCAGTGAGCTCACCAAACAGTCAGCATCAGGGGTGCCAATTCTGAGCAAAATCACTGGAGCTGGTCCTAGAATGCGCCCACCGGGATTCGAACCCGGGCTAAATGGATGGAAACCATTTGTGCTAACCACTACACTATGAGCGCAAAAATCGGACCAGCACGTCGACCCTTTTGGTACATATATGCCGACACGCATTAAAAAAAATTTCGCGGCGGGGGGGGCTCCAACAGGTGGGTCGCGAGGTGAGCGGGCTGCGGCGGGGCCTGGGGGTCTGGCGGCGGGGCTGCGCGGTGGCCGGCCCGACCGGCGGGTGAGGCAGCGGCGGGAGGGTGACGCCGCACAGCGGCCCGGCGCCGACGGCCGCGCGGCGGACGATGCCGGCGCGGCCGGCGGCGCCGCCGGGCCCCCCGCCAGGGTTGGCGGCCCGGCAGCTGGGGCCGCGCGCGGCGGCGGCGAGGACGACAGCGGCGCGGGCGCCCGCTCCCCGCCCCCCGCGCCGCGATACCGGACGCGCAGCGCGTCCAGGCGCGGGGCCGGCGGCGAGGACGCGGGCGCCGCCCGCGACACGGCCGACGCTGGGCCCAGCCGCCCAGCCGCGCAGCGCAGGCGCCGCAGGCCAGCGGCGGGCGCAGCGCCGGCGGCGGCCGGGGAGGGGCCCGGCGGCAGCGGCAGCGGTGGCGGAGGGCTCGGCGGCGACGACGCGCGCGGTGGCCGAGGGGCGCACCCACACGCGCTGGTGGTGTACGCCGGCGGCCATGGCGGCGCGGGGGCCGCTGGAGCGGACGACGACGACGACGGGGGAGGGGCGGCGCGCGCGCCGCCGGCGCTCCCAGCGCCGGCGGGGCACGCCGAGGGGCCACACGACCGGGCTATGGTCAGCGCGTGCGTGCGCGCGCAGTCGCTCTTTGAGTCCAGGCTGCGCGAGTACTGCGCGCTGGGCCTCGGCACCGCGTGGGCTGCCCAGGTCCCCGAGGACCACCCCTTTCTACGCTGGAGCGCGGCGGAGGAGCGGCTGGAGGCGGCGATTCTTCTTTGAGGCGGCGGCGGCGGCGGTCTTTAGATGTGCGAACTGCTGGCGGCGC